TCAGTAAGTGAAAATAAAATAAACAATAAAAGGTGAATCAAATGGACCATTACGGCAAGGCTGGGATGGTCAGTTTGGTAAAGTAAAATCCGTTGGGTATCTTTCTTTGCCTTTAGACAACAATTCTGATGGCAAAAGAGCCAAACGGGACAGGCCAAAAAAAAAAAAAAAAAAAAAAAGAATGAGAAGGCGACAACAGTTGGTGCATTTATTAGGAAATGGAAGAACCATAAAATAACTGCCCATCTCCCTCGGTCTGGATCTCCACGCAAGATCTCACCTCATGGAGTTTCAAGGATAATGAGAACGGTGGGGAACCAGTCCAGTCCAAATAGGCTGGGGTTCAAATCATTTTTCCCTGACTATATATCTAAAAAGTCAGATTTATTTCTTCTCACTCTGAAACTCTGAATTTTCACAAAGACGCACAAGAGCACACACAAATGTACCTTGAGTCCTACCCCATCCAGTAACATAACACATTGTTCCACCAGGAACTATATAGTCCTTTTTTGGCAGACAAGCCAGCTGCACTTGGTTGTTTATCACCGCAGGTCTGAAAACACACACACACACACACAAAATCAATGGTGTGTGTGTAATCTGATTTCACCTAGGATAATTAGGCCCATACAGACGTTGCTAGTTTGAGCAGAGCAATATTCTATCCATCTGGTCCAGTCATGATTTTCTCAAGCATCCTCACTTGTCTCGATGGCACAGTGGCTCTAAGTGAGTGCATACCCAGCACTACCTTCAAGGCTGAAGGCTGACTGGAGCTGCAGTGTATAATATGTAGATACAAAGGGAGTAATTAATAAATTTTTGAGTAATTGCAGAATTTGATTTTCAGGTGTTAACGATGACTTTATTCTAACCTCAAGCACAAAGCAGAAGTTAAGACCCACTGAGGGTGGATCAGAGTTCCTCCACAGTCGATTCTTTCACTGGTAGAAAGAGAAACAGAGATTTATTTCAGAAGATGTGCAGCATATACAAAAGGGAAAATCGGCAAAAAGTGAATTGACAAATAAAGAAAAATCAGACAATTGACATGTAAATAGGTTTGAATGTAAATGCTATAAACACTTAAATAAAAATACTTAAATTAACTGTTTATCAGCAGTGACATGTTACAGTATTTTATTTCTCAATATCTGCACATTTTGTTGAGGAAATTGAAAGTCCTTTACAAATGAAAGTTGTCTTTGAACATATATACTCACTTGGTCTGGACGGCAGTTTGCCAGGGCCACGAGTGAGGCTTTGATACACAGCCACTGACCACCATACTACGAAGGCAGCATTTTGGTTTGATAGCTGGTGTTCCACAATTCAGTTCAACTGCAAAGTAATCATTATTATTATCATGAATTCTCACAAAAAGAGTGAAGCACAAAAGTTAGTTTGGATTGGTGTTAATTAATAAAAGAGAAGATTTTACAGCCTTGTAAGCCACAAGAAAAATTGTTGGATTGACCAAATTAGATTCTCTTATTTTAAGACGTAACTCAATTTATTCATTTATCTATCATCTCTTTGTTTATTATTTATTTGATTCACAGAATCAAACTGGAAATACGTTTTTTGCACGACCTGGATCTGAGGTGATTCTGAGGATCATCTAGAGCATAGGTGTCAAACTCTGGCCCGCGGGCCAAATTTGGCCCGCGAAGCCATACCAAATTACTATCAGAGCTGGCCTACTGGTATTATACAGCTAATATATATATATTGTTTAGTATTAAGCTTTGCTTGTTCCATATTCAGTTTTTCAGCAAAACTTGTTTGAGTCCATAAGAAGAGATTCATTCTTAAATCTAGAGGGAGATTTTTTTTTCAATAAATATTAACGTTAGCCCGCAACCTTGTTCCAGTTTTGAATTTTGGCCCACTGTGTATTTGAGTTTGACACCCCTGATCTAGAGCATGAATGGAGATTTTAAGGACATTATGAAGCTACCAGAAATGCAAATAAATTGACATACTATTGCCCAATAATAACAAAGATCTTAAATCAGTCTCAGAGAGGATGGTTAATTAGGGGTGTGTGTGTATGTGTTTATATATTTATATTATATAGGATCTCACTGGGATATTCTGTAATTGATACATAATTACGTTTGCATATCCACTGGTATGGAGCCCACATGTATTATCACAGCAGGCCTGCTGTACATCGAATGACCAGCAGATGACATTACTTCCAAATGAGCTGTTAAACAGGGCATCGTGTGATCTGCCTTTTGGGGAAGCAATTTGCCGGAAAGATTCAACACATTTATGGAGCTTCATCACGCCATCATTATTGAGGACCATATTTTGCACCTCCATTGCTGAGGGTGCTCTAAGGAGCTTTAGCTACGATATGGTTGGTGCTTGTCGTGGTGGAAATCCCCGATTGGACATCGGAGGTGAATGGAGCCATAAAGCTGAGTCCTATCACGGTTGGTTAGTCTGTGGGCTGAGTGGAGCACAGCTCTGGGGGGAGCTTAAGCAAAATCTTGGGTGTAAGTTTGGTTAACCAATGGGAAAAGACTTTCAGTCTGCCTCGTAGTGATCCTGGCAAACCGTCAAGCAAAGCAACTCAGGCAGGGAAAGTGGTGTTCTATTTATAAGTTGCAGGTAAGGTGCTAGCTGACTTCAACTGAGGATATATTCCTTCCAGGAAACGATTATATCCTCAGCTGACTTCAACTGAGGATATAATCGTTTCCTGGAAGGAATACTTCAAGTACCTTTGGAAGCCCACTGATAAGCTTTCTGTAGAGGATGCAGAGTCTGGAAACAATGGTGATGACTCGCTCATCACCTGGAGCAAGATAACTGGGATGATTAACCTGTTAAAACCCCATTCCATCGTTTGTCAGTCAAACTTTTAGGTCAAATTACCATAACTTTTAAACCATTGGCGCAATCAAAAAATTCTGTTCCTGAAAGCATTAACACAAATAACATAGAATAACACAGCAAATAACACAGAAAACAACAAAGTAAATAGCCAAAACAAAACAAAACAAAACAAAAAAAACAGTACAAAGAACCCAAATGGCTGATAAAATGTCTGCTTTCAGGAACTGAAACAAACCAACTACAGGGAGATCCCACTCCTGGGCCTCCCAGGCCAAATCTATGCCAGGGTACTGGAGAGGGGAATTCATCCATATGTCAAACATCAGATGCAGAAGGAACGATGCAATATTCGTCCTTTTATGGAACAGCTATTCATTCTCTCGAGAATATTTGATGGTGTGACTGGACTTCTTTTAAGTTTTTCTTGTAGATGTTACACCTTTCATCTCAGTAACTTCTTTAGTTCTATCACCCCAACAGACCACTTCACTCTCAGACTGCTGGCGGTGGTTCCTGGGATATTTAAAAAGCAGAATGGGATCATGGAATCAGGGAATCATTAGTGGCTATTATTCTAACGTTGTCTTCTAGTATGCTTTTTTAGATTCTCTCTGAGGTCCCTGTTGCAAAAAAAGACCTGATACTTCAGAACATCCACCTACTAAACAGTTTTTTAAAAATGTAATATTAATTTAACAGACCTCTCTGCATTGAATCATATCTGTTATTAACCTCTTCCACAGCATGTCTTTTATCTTGTCTTCCTTCTCTCACCCCAACCGGTCGCAGCAGATGGCCGCCCCTCCCTGAGCCTGGTTCTGCCGGAGGTTTCTTCCTGTTAAAAGGGAGTTTTTCCTTCCCACTGTGCCAAAGTGCTTGCTCATAGGGGGTCATATGATTGTTGGGTTTTTCTCTGTATCTATGAAGCGCCTTGAGGCGACTTTATGTTGTGATTTGGCGCTATATAAATAAAATTGAATTGAATTGAATTTCTGGTATAACAAGTTAAGATGTACATCTATCATTCTGTGGAAAATATCATCTGAATTTCAGGAGCGGGACCACACCTCGTTCACGCCCCTTACGACCTCAGACTATAAATGCCCCCTTCTCCAATACCGCTGTTTATTTGTCAATCCGTGAAATGTCAGATGTCTATTATATTAATGTACAGAATTCACCTGCTTGCTGCTACTACTGCACATTCACCCAATGTATATACTATATATATATATATATCTACCCCCATATATATATTTTTGCACATGTCGAGGAGCGTGTCAGGCTACATTTCACTGTGTGTTATACTTGTATAACTATGCATGTGACAAATAAAGAACCTTGAACTTGAACTTGAACCCTTGATACCCCACCCTTTCCCCCCATTTTCCCTCTTTTCTCCTCTTCTCCTCCTCCCTTTCTTCCTTCACTTCTTGTTAGTGCCCAGCCCCTTTGAGGCCTTTCCCAAACCGCAGCACCAGTTCATACTTCCTCATCACTCATCATTCCGAAGTTGTGGTCCCAGCTAGTGAAGCACAAAGTTTCTCAAAAGTGACAGCCCATCTAATGGGTAAACCCTGTCTCATCTTTAAAACCACTAAGCTCTTGTGGTTGTATATGAGCCTGCTGTATCTTAAACGTGTGATGCTTACGCATTAGGATAGACCACTGAAGTTGTGCTATGTCTGTGAGGAACCGTGGAGCACTGATGGTCTCTGATGTTATACTCCGATAACTGGAACCGTTCCCCTCATAGCAATCTTCCTCATCTGCGGGGGTCACTGGAGGATCCGCAGCAGGAGATAAGGAAAGAAAAAAAATTCCTGGATGCATTTTTGTGTGAAAAAGAAAGAGGAGACAAGCTGACTGATATTATACCTGGAGTAGGTGCTTCCCCACACAGTGGCACGTTGCAAAACTTCCAATCAGTGTCAGGGTCAGTTGTGTAGCATCAGGGGAACAACTTATTATCAGGGTTACGACAGTAGTTAGCATCCAGACCTCTGACAAAGATTAGCATGGAAAAACATAGCAATGAGGCCATGAAAACAAACTTAATGCAGGCATGTTAATGAAGTTTTAGTAATCTACAGTAACCTGATGGATTATTTAAATTGAAATTAAGTTGTACAAATTACTTCCCCAAAATGTTGACTACATGGTGAAAAGAGGCTTTACAAATGTATATCAGGCTGATAGAGGACACCACTGCTGATGAAGTCACTCCTCATAACCTTAAAGGTACTGACTCAATTTTTACATCTTCTCTTGTATAAACTGGATAGACCCTGAAACAACAACTCATGGATTATTTTAGTTCTACCATTTAACAAGAGATAACTCTTAGCGATTCTTCACGTTGCTCATGTCAAACTCTTACAGGGATTTTGCTTTGACATTGCTTTCTAATGGCTTAAACACTATAGACAGAGTTCATTATGGGAAAAAAGTTTCTAAATCTTGTGGTTTATTATCATATCTTTGTTTTTCTCCTGTGATTCCCATGTTGCAGCTGAAAACTATTAATCAAACCTACAAATTGAAAAGTCCCACTAATATTTTCTTCACAACATTAATATCACAGAGAGTGGACACTGATTTCTGGTTACAACTCTTACTTGTAAGGGCAGTTTTCTGGGATTTGGTGGTGTTTATGTGGCGTCTGAGATGACCATCTCTGGCACGTTTTGCTAGTCACAGTTACAGCAATTGTTCCCCGGTACGCTACACCTATATCAGTGATGCCTATATCACCTATATCCATCTCTGGGATGAAGGTGGGAGGCTCAGTAGCTGAGGACAAAAAACAAGTCAAACATATATTTATTATATTATGTAAAACATATAAGGATGTATATTTATGGACCATTAAACCCTATTACAAACATTTTGTTCAATTCAATTCAGTTTTATTTATACAGCGCCAAATCACAACAACAGTCGCCTCAAGGTGCTTCATATTGTAAGGTAGACACTACAATAATAAATACAGAGGAAAACCCAAATGACCCCCGATGAGCAAGGACTTTGGTGGCAGTGGGAAGGAAAAACTCCCTTTTAACAGGAAGAAATCTCCGGCATAACCAGGCTCAGGGACCGGTTGGGGTGAGAGAAATAAAATATATTGCTTATTGTTACACTTCCTTTTACTTATGCCTTTCAAAGGTAGCAGGTGCTGGAAGATGGTGATATT